ATTTTAAGTCAACTTGATTAAAAACACAAAAAAGAAAAATGTAAAACTAAGTTGTCTCCATGGATCTGTATGCAGTGTTCCCAAGAGCATGGATGGGGGATTGATGTTTAAGCTGCTGTTTGTGATTTTATCACCAGAGTGGTCCTGATTTCATGTATCCGTGTTTGGTTTTGTCATATTTTATATTTGCATTTTCAAAAGTCATTTGGGCTTCTGTATAAATTACATGACCGTGAAACCCTACTTCATGGCCATGTAGAATTGGAAAGGTGAATTTCGGCCACTTATTCAATCTCTGCTCGTCACAAGAATCCAAGTTAAAGTTTTCACAATTGATGGTTGCCCAGCCGCTTCTTGACCACAACCAGTAAAGGAGAGCCCACCTTTAATTAATTTCTGTGTAATTAATCCTGCTATCAAACTGCTCTTGCTGGTAGAATTTTCCTCTACATTTTGTTGGACTCTGCCATTCTAGCAATTTAAATCCATTATTTCATGCGCTGCTCTCTGGAACAGAAAAGAACAAGATTTGCCTTTGTCTCTGATAGACTGAATTAACATACTTGCAGCCCATTTCACCAACCTATCAATATTGTTTTGAATTGTATTTCTGCCTTTAGGGGTATTAGTTCTCCCACCCAATTTTGTATTGGGTTTGGTAACCACTTGATTACCAAGTTGGTAACGTTTGGTAACCACTTCCTTCACCTTTACCCCTATCATCCAGATCATTATAATAGGGTTGAACTTGGTGGCATTACACTCAGAACCTCCCTTCAGTTTTTTAATGCCAGTTGGAAGCCCCTTTTGGACTTCTTGCAGGAGTCAGGAAAAAATGAAATTATGATATATGGATCTGATGATTAGTTAAATTAATAGATTATAAAAATATGTATAAGTACTTTCAGAGTAAGAGGTTGTTATATGATTTATCTACATCTGCTGTATAAGAAGTCGGAAGTTATTCTTTTTGTATTTTTCTTTTCCTTTACTTTCTATCACTTTTGTATTCTTTCTCTAACTTTCTTGCTCTCTACTTTTCTCCTCCACTATTAGTTCTTGTTTGCTTTTATCTTTATGCTTTTTATAACTGAATAAAGTTTTTACAAAACAAAACCCTCCCTTCAGTTTGATGACAATTGTTGGTATGGTTTCTGTACCAACTACACACACACACACACACACACACACACACACAAACACACACACCCCTAACTGGCATGCCATCCAGCCCACATTTAACTATCTTCTCAAATGTTTTGCTGAAATCAAGACACACTATGTCCACAGCATTACCCCAATCCCAATTTTAAAAAAAAGACCCACTTTGGCAACATTTCTTGACAAAGCCATGTTGTTTTCTGGTAACCGCTGCATTGTTTTCAAGTTGCTCACAGACTGATCTCTTTTAATCTGCTCTGTAATCTCCCCATGTATTGTGTCTGGCTGACAGATCTGTGCTTCCTTGTATCCTACTTCTCCTCCCTTTTAAAGATTGGGATAACATTCTCTTTCACTTTGGTACATCATCTGTTCGCCAGGATTTCACAGAGGTAGGACGAATGGATTCAACCAGACCTTCAGCGAATTCCTTCTTGCTATAAGATGCAACTCATCTGGCCATGGAGATTTAAAATCAGTCAAAATGGAAAGATATAACCAGACCATATCTCTGTCAGAATCTTCTTTCTATCCTGATATCCTGCTTTTTGTATTTGACTAATAGAACAAACATTTCTCAGAGAAGACTTAGCCAAAATGAACATATTTAAAGACACCCTTTTTCTTATGGTTAGCATTTTTTGTCAACTTCAGCTCATTTTGAGCCTCTGGTTTCCTTAGAATTTCTGGAATTCTAAGCCATCTCTCTACAGTTTTCTTTGCTGCCCTTATCCTCTTTATATCTCTCATATTTATCTTTTTTTTCCTTTGCTCTTGGATCTTCAGTGAGCTCTCATTGGCTTCATCTGTATTCCTTTTTTCTCCTTCTTGGAGCTGAAACTCCTTTTTTTAGGAATGCCTACCAATCTTGAAATCCTTTTCTCATCAGCCTCTACTGCTATAGTGCCCTAGTTATCCTAGCTCTGAGTTAATTAAAATCTGTTTTCTTTGTGTCTGGAAAGCCCTTTAAACTTGGCTCTGCTCCCAAGCCTGAGGTTAATGTATTAGTGGGGCCCCTGATATGTTTTTATGGTTGTGGTTGTTTTTAATCTGTGCTTTTTAAAAAATGTTTTAACTGAATAACCATGTATTGGATTTTCTAAGCTACCTAGAGTCTAATGGAGTGGGTGGCTGTAACAAAATTAATGAAATAAATAAAGATGCACATACAACCACACTCAGTTTTGATTTTTCTTAATATCAAAATGTCTGGCAATGGTCATGTTGACTTGTTCCTGATATTATGTGGGGTAATTAAAGTCTCCAGAAATTGTATGCCTTTTGAAAGATCTGCAATTTGCTTCTGGAAAGTATCATTCACACAAATATCCTTGGGTTTGTTTTTTTTTTGTTCCCCCACTTATTTTATTTGAGATGCTTGCTACAGTATCTCCAAGTTAATTTGTTTGGATTTCTGGCAGAGATGTGTACTCTTAAAAAGTCTCCCTTTTTTCTATTACTTGATCAAATTACACTCAAGGTTACTATATTTCAAAATGGGATTCATTCCAGTAGCTCTCCATTATACCTTTTAAATTATATTTGCCTTCCTGTATTAAGGATTCAAATTCACCTTCTTTATTTTCCATATTCTGAGCATTGTATCTAGACAACGGAGGCCATGGAATTTATGAGTCAGTGTTCTTTTTCGTATGTCTGAGTTCATTAATAGGCTCTTTTACAGCATTCTTCCCACTTCCTTCTGTAGTATACAAGTATTTATCTGATACTTAACATTTATCTGGATTCAGTTTAAAACCATCCTGATCAAGTTAATCAACTTTCAAACAAACACTTTTGCCAGTCCTTGTGAGGTGAAAACCATCTCATGCTAGCATTCCATCATTCTTGGAGAACTAATTTCATGGTCCCAAAAATCAAAGGCGCAAAGCCAGCTGGGTGACCTCGGGCTGGTCTCAGCCTAGGAAGGAGGCAGCGGCAAAGCACTTCTGAAAAACCGTGTCAAGAATACTGCGGGGACTAGTCCAGGCAGTCACCAGCAGTAAAAAACTGATTTGAAGGTGCACATGCACAAAATCAAAATTTCTGCAAACACCATTTCTGAAGCTGGACATCCACTTGCATTGTATCACTTCTGTGGACTCAAATGATTGATGGGAACACCCCAGGTTCTTAAAATCTCCACATTTTTAGCTCTGTTCTCATTATTCAGAGTTGTTCATGATTATATGATTGCAGCTGATCTTGCCAGCATCGTATGTTACTTCACATGGATTAGTAATTAGGGACAATTGTCAGTGAACTTTATATATCTTGGAAGTTGCTGTTATATTCCTAATCTCTCTTCCTGGCAGAGAACACACTTCAGAGCCAGTGGGTCTGGTCAGCATTCATTTCTGTTTCTCATAATATTGAGTCAGTTTGTTTTCTTGTAAGGTCCTGTCAGCTTTGCAAGGTAGTCCAGACAAGAAGCACACCCAGAGGTACTAGCTCTAACCTTATTGTAAGGTTACATTAGCAGAATCTTGCAAATCTGAAAGGACATCTCTCCACCCCCACCACCCCCTCACCTTTACGGTCCAGGAAACTAGGGAAGGTTCCTTCTGAGACATTTACCATGCCCACATTCCTTCTGCAGACTCAGCTCTGCTGGTCTGCAGCTGTTCCTCTTGTCTCCCCAGGTCATTCCTACCTACCATTACAGGCGCAGATGCACTCTGTGCTCTTTGGAGATCCACGTTCCTTTCTCGTGTTCCACAGTGTCTTCTTCTCCTAAAGCCTCAGAGCTTATTTCTTCTGCAATAGTCTCAAACCAATTTCTGAGTGGGGAAGAATATCCTCTATAGGCTCTATCTCACAGCTAAATTATTAAAGTGCTATCTGCCAGTCCTTTAGCAAGCAGAAAATTATACTGATATTAAATATGCCACTCCTGTTAGTAGTCCCTATCCTGGCCCAGGCCCACTGCTGGCAAATAGTGATGTCCATATCTGTGGTATACCAAAGCATGTCAAGGGTGGGGATTGATGGACTTCCCAGACTTCCATCAAACATCACCAACCAGCAGGAAAATATCAAGCAATCACTCTTCTGAAGGTCAAATGAGACTGTGGCTGGGGAGAAGGCAAGTTTTGACAGATGGCTAGACCAGCAGGCTTAGCCATCTGCTAAAACTCACCCTTTTCTTTTAGTTATCTGTCAAAACTTGCTCTGATTTTGCATAAGCATTTTACTTGGGTGTGTTCAAAAGAATATAAATGGATGATTGGACTCCTTTTGGACAAGATGCAACTCCAGAAGAGTGTTAAACCTGTATTCAGAAGCAGTTGAACATGAGTTTAATGCTATTCCAACAGAGCACTAAAACCTGTGTTGAAAAGCAGCCCAAACAATAGCTGAGAGACGGGAAGAGGGTTGAGCCATTAGCTGGCAAAGAGAACTGTAGTTCTCTCTCTAGCTCTCTCTGTTAAATGTGTAGTTCTGCCACTGTTACTCTGGGTTACCTCCTTGGAAAAAACTAGACGCTTCTGTTGCCCAAACCAGAATGATCCTGGAGGTCAGTCCTTCACAACTGGAGGAGAAGGAACATTACTACACCAGCAACAAACTGAAGTATGTCAGATTGTAACCAAGGTGAAAATAGTGTCAGGTGAATAAAAACATTACTTTAAAACCAGAACAGCTAGGGATACTTTAAGGCTGCCTCTGATATGGGCTGAGGACCAGATGAGGGCAATGTCATGAGGTGTCATACAAAAAAAAGATGGCTGGGTCATGCTTGTGCCATGGGTAGGTGGAAACCAGAAAGGCTCTGTGTCTCTTGTTTCTGCTAGTTGCTCTCATCTACTGGACTTGCTCCTTTGTTTGAATCTCTTCCTTCCTGGAGGTTGTTTCTTCTATCATTTTATAGTGCCTTCTTTGTTTAGTCTAATCAATCTTCATCTTGTTCCAATTCATGTCCATTTTTCTTTAAACACCTTCTAAGCTTGGAAAATAATAACACCAGTGATTGCTGATATCTCATTTGCTGAATCACAATTCTGTTATAGAGATCGTAATTACCCTTTGTCATAAGTACTTTTTACATGTTAAAATGAGACAAAATCCAACATTATTATGCAACTAATTATTTCATTATAGTGCATAAATGATATCACAGAAATATTTTATTTTAAGAAAAGCTGGAAAATATATTCTAAAACCAAAGGCTCTGTTACAATTCTACTGTGATGAGAAAGAACAAGAAAGGAGTAATGCAGCATTTATCATTCAAAAAATCTGGAAAAGATGGCTGGTAAGTTAGCAATACTTCAAATATACTTTTAGTCCTCTTTCTAGAGTAACATACTTTTGAGCTTTTCAGCTGTATTTGTCTAGAAGTCTACACATCTTGGATGGGTGTGATGGCCAACCAAAAACTTGTGGGTCCCAAGACTGTTGCATTCTTAAGAAACACAATCTCATTTGATCTCATGTTGCATCTACACATTCAAGGGAATCACTTGCTCCCTTTTCTGGCTTAAAGCTTGAAACTGCAGAAGGGGGGTGGGGTCACCTTCTATATATAAAAAGCTCTGCCCTTTTCCATCTCTTCAGGGATTCAGAGCCAGTTTGGCCTAGTGGTGAAGGCCCCAGGCTAGAACCCAGGAGACTGAATTCTACTCCTGCCTTAGGCATGAAAGGTGGCTGGGTGACTTTGGGCCAGTCACTCTCTCTCAGCCCAACTCACCTCACAGGGTGGTGGTTGTGGGGAAAATAGGAGGAGGAAGGAGTATTAGGTATGTCCACCACCTTGAGTTATTTATAAAAATAATAAAGGTGGGATAAAAAAAAAGTACAGTGGTACCTCGGTTCACGAACTTAATTCATTCCGTGACTCGGGCGGGCGCCCACAAAAATCGGGGGCCCCACCCAAAATTTTTCACCTGGTTCATGATATAAAAAATTTTTCCCATCTATCCC